GGACAAAAATTTTGAAAATGTATGTGTACAAATATGTTTTTATAGCTTATAGTATCAAAAGACTAGAAATAATGCAAGTGTCCATAAACGGGATTGTTGAATGAGTTATGGTTTATCCACAGGGTAGCCCTGTGCAGTTATAAAAATGAATGAGAAGTACCTCTGTATATTGCTATGGAGTGATATACAGGATCTTTTGTTAAGTGAGAAAAAGGTGGAGACAAAAAAGAGTGTTTAGTACATTACTATTTGTATGAGAAAGGGTGGAGATATAAATACATGTACAAATATCCTTATATTAAAAACATGAAAGAATGTATCATTTTGTTAAATGATTTCTTATAGGGATAGGGAAAAGAATAAGCTGAAGAGTCAGGAAATATACCTTACTTTGTCTTTTTACTTTGGAGTCATTTAAATAGTTCATATAATAATATAAACACATATAATTAAATGAACCTAAGAGTACCCACTTGATAGTGTAACCTTATGAGGCACTTTATTTTTTTAACCATTTTTAAATTATAGTTAATTTACAATGTTGTGTAAGTGATTCAGTTATACATACATATATATGTGTGTGTGTGTGTGTATATATATATATACATATATATATATATATGTTATTTTCAGAATCTTTTCCATTATAGGTTATTACAAGACATTGAATATACTTCCCTGTGCTCTACAGTAGGTCCTTGTCGTTTATCTATTTTATATATCGTAGTGTGTATATGTTAATCCCAAACTCCTAATTTATCTTCCACACCTGCTGTTATCCCCTCTGGTAACCATAAGTTTGTTTTCTATGTCTGTGAGTGTCTGTTTTGTAAATAAGTTCATTTATATCGTTTTTTTTTAGATTCCACATATAAGTGATACCATATGATAGTTGTCTTTCTCTGTCTGACTTACTTCACTTAGTGTGATAATCTCTAGGTCCATCCATGTTGCTGCAAATGGCATTATTTCATTCTTTTTTATGGCTGAGTAATATTCCATTGTGTATATGTGCCACATCTTCATTATCCATTCATCTGTTAATGGACAGTTAGGTTGCTTCCATGTCTTGGCTATTGTAAATAGTGCTGCAGTGAACATCAGGGTGCATGTATGTTTTCAAATTAGAGTTTTCTCCAGATATATGCCCAGGAGTAGAATTGCTGGATCATATGGTAGCTCTATTTTTAGTTTTTACAGGGCCTCCACACTGTTCTCCATAGTGTCTGCACCAGTTTACATTCCCACCAACAGTATAGGAGGGTTTCTTTTTCTCCACATCCTAAAAGGCACTTTAAAACACAGTAATTTGACTGTACATGCCAAGTAATACATTGTCTAAATGACAAATAAAACAGCAAAAATACTACTGTTTTAAGTAATCATATTGCTTGTGGTCATGTTAGTATTATTATTCTGGATTGTTGTTTTTGTCATGTGTGGTAAATGAAATGAAAAATTGATTCCGTTTGTTTTAAAGCAAACACAGATGTAACATACAGCAATTTACGATGTGTTTTATCTTAAAATTTTTAAGGAGGGGGAACCTATACAGGAAAATGGACTTCAGACATATCAGCCACTCAGAATTTTGAAGCTTTGATGAGTCTGGTTCATGCACTGCTTTTTTCCTTTTATGTATATTTGGAATAATTCCATAATAAAAATGTTAAAGAAAATTCATCATGTCTATTTGGACACATACTATTTCTTTTGTCCTGCTGGAGTCCTAGACTGTCAGCTGATTCACAGACTATTTCATTTTATAAATATAGAGAAGTTACTTCCTTAACTCATGGTTCAGCTTTCTTCCAGGGAAATAGTGTTTTAGAATTCTATTACAATCTAATAATTCTGGAGTATCTTACACATATAATAGCAATAGCAGATACAGTTCCTACCAAGTGAAGAAGGTCATATATTTAAAAAGTGTATGTCTCCTCTTTAAATATAAGTCCCATGAGAGCAGGAACTAAATGTCTTTTGTTCACAGAAGAATTATAACACTTGTAGATTAGGTACATAAATGTTTGTTAATGTTTGTTAAATAATAAACATTTGTACCTTAGTTATAGAAAAACATTTGCATAGCACTTGATATATTTTCAGAGTGCTTTCAATTATAATCTCTCTTTTTCCTTTCCTAAATTTCCCATGTGTAGAAAAGGCTGGTATTATTCTCCATTTAATGGAAAAAAATAGACATTGTATAGAAAACAGTGCATGAATGTTGTGTGAATGTTGTGTAAATGCCAGAAAATTTCCACTGCATCAGAAACTATGTATAATAAATAAGTAATTGCAGATTTGGGGGCAACTTTTTTTAACCAATATGGTAAAGCTTTATGGATAAATAAGTATTTTGACTTCAGGTATCTTTGTTTGAATCATATAAAATTGCTAGGCTTAAAGGTCAAAATGAGTTGATGATCAACAGTTCCACACCATTCAACCTGTAGCATAGGCCAACTAGAAAGAAGATAGAAACTGTTACCCCTTCATTACTGTCGACTTGCTAGTCACCTAGGAAGCTGACAACTGAATGGGAACTGCTTTCTCTGGCTACCTGGATCATTTGTATTAATTTTCACTCTTCAGTTGTTTCTCCTTCTTCATTCATCCAGAGTCTCTCATTTTCATTAACAAAGCCTGGCCCTAAGTTGATTGGTATTAACATCTGTAGCAAAGAACAGACAGAAGCCTGGCAGCAGTGCATTAGGGAATTAAAAACGTTTTGCTTCTAGTCAAAGGACCACTGACTCTTTCAATCCATCTAGTCAAGTAGGAGCAAGAGATATATTTCCTCCCCAGGGCAGCTGAGCTATACTGTGTGGATACTTGATTAGGCAGTGGAAGTTGGTGATGAACTTTGCATACCAACCTTCCCTCCAGGTCACGATCTAGAAGAATCCTGTTGCTGCCAAGTGAAAAGTAAAGTTGTGACCAAAGGAAATTAAATATATCCTTCCTGTTGACAAATATTGGATGTTCACAGATATTTTAATTCAATATTGAGTTAACCCATGGGCTCTATGAAAAGATTTTGAAACATAATAGAAGGGAACATAATATTTGTAAAGGAAAATCCAATACCTGAGAACAGAATTACAGGTTAAAAATATATATATATATTTGGTCATGTGTAGTTGGCATTATCAATAATAAGAAATATGACCAGAAAGTGAGATGAAAAGATATGCCTATAATAGCCTGAAATTAAAAGGTTAATGGTAGACATGAGTAATGATGTATGGAAAACAAAAATTTTATGATACCATCTGGTATGGGCTGATTTGTGCCCCTCCCCACCCTGTGCACCCCCTGCAAAATTCATATGTTGAAGTCCTAACCCTCAGTACCTCAGAATGAGACTGTATTTGGAGACAGAGTCTTTAAAGGGGTAATTAAGTTAAAATGAGGTCATTAGGGTGGGTCTGAATCCAATATTATCAGTGTACTTATAAGAAGAAATTTGGACACCAGACACGTACAAGAGAAAGACCATGTGAAAATGTTGGGAGAAGGCAGCCATTTACAAGCCAAGGAGAGAGGCCTCAGAAGAAACCAACCTTGCCAATACCTTAACCGTGGGCTTCTCCAAAACCTAGAGAAGATAAATTTCTGTTGTTTAAGTCACCCAGTCTGTTACCTTGTTACGACAACCTCAGCAAACTAATACACCTTGATAAAGGCAGTTAAAAGCAGAAGCAGCATCCCTCTAAACTGAATCAGGGAAATAAAAGCAAATTTTAGAAACTGTTCAATAATATACTTTTTAAAGGTCAAAACAATGGAGCAAAAAAGGAAAATTTGTGTATGTCTACTGTATCTATGACAAATTGAGATAAGCCTCCATATCTGTTCCCATTCCTTCCCACCTCTAAAGAACAAAACTATAGGGAAGAGAGGTTCAATCAAAGAAATCTTTCCTCAGTGGTAAATTGTAAATCATAAATAAAAAATATTGGAAAGTAATTGTCTTAGTTTCACAGGACTGTAGTATCAAAGTACTACAAAGTTAGTAACTTAAAACAACAGAAATTTATCATCTCACAGTTTTGGGGAATAAAAGTGTTGGCAAGGCTCTGTTCCCTTTGAAGGCACTGGGGAAAGAACTGTTTGATGGATCTCTCCTAGCTTCTGGTAGCCTTACATATTTCTTGGCTTATAGATGCATCACTCCAATCTTCTGTCTTCATGTGACATTCTCCATGTGTGTCCTTTCAATGTCTGCCTTCTGTGTGTGTTCAGATTGTTCAGTTTCCTTGATACCAGTCATATTGGAATAGGGTTCACCCTAATGACCTCATTTTACCTTGATTACCTCTGTAAAGACGCTGTTTTCAAATAATGTCACATTCATAGTTCCTGGGGTTTAGGACTTTGACATATTTTGTGGGGGGAGACACAATTCCACCTGCAACATTAATGTACCAAAATATTAACAATGTTAATCACTATTTTTTTTTAAGTTTTCTGTTTGTTTTTGTGATGGGTATGTATTACTTTTATAATCTGAAAAATATTCAGAAAGTAAAGCAAATGGTTTTTGTAAAAAGTCTCATTTTTGAATTCTATTCATTAGCTCTCAGTTTTTGTTATATAATTCTAGTTGGTTTAAATTGTTTTCTGATTCAGCAAGAGTCCATATGCATATTTAGCAATCGTCATCTGCATAATTATACATCTGTGATTATAGGTAGGATAGAAAAAGCTCCCATTTCTGAATTAAAATAGTCTCAGCATTTGTTATCTGTAGAGAGCAGACTGGTGTTATGGTAAGAGGAGGAAAATATGACTAAAGAAGGCATTTAGCAATAGCATATGAACAGTGTGAACACCATCAGTTATCCCTAAGTCCTGAATCCCAAAGGCCATGAAACTTTTCTCACACATTAGGCAAATAGGTTTTGTGTGAGTTATTGGGTACTGTTTTTTAAAAGTCAAATATGGCTTTATAAGCTTTCTAATGAACTAAATTCTTTTTTTTTTTTCCCTAGATTTGCCTGCAATGGATAACTCAGTGTTTTTGGAATTATTTAGATTGGATAGAAATCTGCCATTATATTGCTACTTGTATTTTCCTTGGTCCTGATTATCAAGTGTATATCTGTATAGCTATATTCAAACATCTACAACAAGACATTCTACAGCACACTCAGATTCAAGATCTGCAGGTTTTCCTAAAAGTAAGTAACTTTACTTCTAGAGGAAAAATTTTGGCTGAAAGTTAATGGTCAACTTTGATGGGGTGTCTAATGCCAGATATTTTTCTAGACACTCATGAAATCCTAAAAACAACCTTGAGAGGTAGGTATTATCTTTATTTGAGAGATGAGGAAACCAAGGCACTGAGTTAAGTAAATTACCCAAGATTTTATAGCTGGTGAGTGGTGCTAGAGAGTGGTGGGCCTGGCATATGAATTTAAGCTGCCTGGCTACAAAATTTTGCTTTCAGCCAGTATGCTGTGCCAAAAGGGCTTTTTTTTTTGGATATTCCTATATCTTATTTAGTCAATAAAAGTTCAGGTTACTGTGTGTTAATACAGAGCTTTGATACTTTTTAAAAACATTTAATGTAATTGCCTATACCTTCATATTTTTCTAAACTATCAAATATTTTTATAAAAGGTTTCCATGAAAGATTCTATCATAACACTCTTTTTAAAAAAGTCACTACTATATATAAGTTAATATTTTAAAGCAAGATATAGTTGCTTTCTTTCTCACACTAATGGGACTTTTGAAGCTCTGGACTTTAGAAAATACAAGATATATAAATATACTCTATGTGTGATTCTTCCTGGAAATCCAACTTTTTGTTTTAAGTTAAAATCTTTCCTTGAATTTAAAATATGTTTCCCTCCCCCTGCTACCCTCAGACACACATATGCATGCATATGCATACATACATCAAAACCAACATTAGGTTTTTTCTAGGTGGACAGATAATTGCTACATGAATTAATTTTATCTTTATTTTTTACCATTAGATACTTATCAGTTATTTTTCATTTAATGATTTTTTGTAAGTACATGTTATTGATCATTTAAGATTGTGAAGCTATCAAGCATTTTTACTTCATAAATACTGAATTCAAAATGTCTCAAACTTCCTACATATATCAATAGAATTATGATCTTAGAAACATTTTTAATGAAATAAAGTATAACAAGACAATGGTCATACATGTAGAAGGAAAACTTAGGTAGAAAAAGAAAAAAGTGGTCTGTAAGAGGTAATTTGGAGAACAGGGATGGTTAAGTAAATGAGAATTATGTTGAGGACAAAATGTGGGTTCCTTTTCAGTAAGGGACATTTTCATTAGTTACAGTGGTCAGTTATAGAGATTTCAGTCTGAAATTTCCCCAAACTCTTATATTTTTATATCTCCTAACTTATAATTATCTAACCTCTTATCCTACTTTAGTTTCTCTTATAGTGTTTGTCACTGGCTGAAATTATTTTAGATATGTTTTTGTCAATCTTCCCCAGTATAATGTGTAATCCTCCACAAGGATTGTGATTTTGTCTATCTCGTTTACTAATGTATTTTTCAGTGCCTCGTTTTACTAATGTATTTTCAGCACCTGGCACAGAGCAAGTGCTCAATAAATACTTGTTGAGAGTAAACAAAGAATGTAAATAAATATAAAGGGAAAGATGAATGAACTTAGTTTTTATTCACATTGAATAACAAACATTACTAACATCTTCCTTTCTACCAGAAGGATATCCTTATATTTCATGACCTTTAAATCTGATTGATGTTGGTGATTATTGCATTTTCATCCCTTTCTTGATTACTGCCAGGAAAAATTATAATAGGGTTTACAAATGGTGACCTCTTTAAATATTTCCCAAACTCTGTTGTGTTCTGAGCATAATGCTGTCAATTTAAAACTTAAATTTAAAGAATTTTAAAGTGAGGGTAAAAAGATTACTACCTAAGTCCTATTTAAATTACTAAAATATTAGTTGAATTGGTTTAAATCCAAACTAAGAATATGTTGGCAAAGAATTAATTTTAGCACTTGTCCTGGAACTAACCTTACTTCTTACTCCTGCTATGTGCATTCATCTGAGGTATTAGGAAAAATGCCTTTCTAATACCTTTCTAATACCGTGACTTCACTGTATTTTTTGTTTTATTTTCAGCAGGTAGGTCTCACGGTCACTGATTTCTTTTGGTGGGTATTTTTCTTGTGAGATAAATTCCAATGTAGTTCATTTTTATTTTATTTTATTTTATTTATTTATTTATTTATTTTTTTTTTTTTTTGCGATACGTGGGCCTCTCACTGTCGTGGCTTTCCCGTTGCCGGACGCGCAAGCTCAGCTGCCATGGCTCACGGGCCCAGCCGCTCCGCGGCATGTGGGATCCTCCCAGACCGGGGCACGAACCCGCGTCCCCTGCATCGGCAGGCGGACTCTCAACCACTGCGCCACCAGGGAGGCCCTGTAGTTCATTTTTAAATATGCATTTACATACCCCTTTAAGTACTCCATTAAGCCCTGTTATAATCTCTTCTTTGCAAAGTATGTAAACATATGTATACTGGTTTTCACTTATTCACATATTACCCAATCATGAAATTTTGATTAAGGAAGTGATTTTTATTCTTCCTCCCCTCAAAAGATCCCCCTAGTCAGAAAGATATATGATTTTAAAAGTCCTCATTAAACTACAGTTAGGGAGATTAAACCTTGGAAATTATGTTTTATATCTGATCCAAAATCTCAGACTTGTTCAAAAGGAAAAAAACTTATCAATAATTCTCCGTATAACTACATACCACAGCCATAATAATGTTCTTACATAGATTACATGTTGTGCCCTGACTCTACATGTTTAATAATGACTGCTTCTGAGAGGAAAGAGGAGGTAGAGTAAAACAGGGGACTTTTACTTTTTATTGTGTATATTTATGTGGGCTTTTTTTTTTTTGAATAATGGAACCATGCTTCTTTTGTAATAAAACTACTTTTTAAAAGGAGGATATTATCATTATATAAAAATGGATAGAACAACCATCTGACTGTGGTAAATAAGTTCAAATAATCAGGCCCAATTGAATTAGTTTCCAAAATACTGAAAAACCACAAGCATGTTTTCAGTTACAGTATTATCAGTTATCCTGAGAAACTTGAGGTAATGAAATGATTCCAGAAGATTGAAAATATGCAGTTCTGTTCCTGGTTTTAAGTTTCATGTACTGACAGAAGGGGCATGTTGGAAATATTACTTTAGGAATAAAAATCTGTCTGAAGCATGTAGTATACACAAAATACCAACCCATTCTGTATTCATTTTGGTTTAGGCTCAAGATTTTAAATCAGGTAATTGAATCTAGACTCAGTGTTTGCATTTCTGGTAGGCCACTGAACAATTCGTCATGATCAGTATATTAAAAAGATGACTTGAAATTTCTTAACTCAGGTTTACTAAAAAAAAAAAAAAGCAAGCAATAAAACTTGTTTATGTTTCCTCATTTGATTAAACCACTAAAAGATTAGATGAATGCCATGGGTATAAGTTTATCAGCAAGGTGTTATCTGAGTTTTTCACAATATCTTTTTAGGCACAACAAGAATGTGGGTTGGATAATAGAGCAGCTAAGTGCATTATTCCCACACTGTGGTGACTGATAGATTAGTGCTGACCTAGAAGGCAACTTCTAAACGTGTGCTGAAGAGATTAGTCCTTGGACCTAACGTTTTTCTGTGACAGATGATGGTTCAGAAAATCTGCAGGCATCAAACATCCAGAAATAAAAACATCATCCGACAAAATAAATATTCTCAAATATCTCAGACTTGAAAGTCTAAAGTTGGGTTGGTTCATTTTTAATGGATGGATCTCTCTCTCTCTCTCCCTCTCTCTCTCTCTCTCTCTCCCTCTCTCTCTCTCTCTCATGCACCCACACACACACAAGCAACAAGTGTAGGGAGATTACTTTGATAGTACTTCAGAAGACCCACTGTTTTACCAGACTGGCTGTATTGCATTCCTCTGCATGGTAATAGGCTGACAGTGATCTAGGTTTTAGTTTATGAATTCAACCTAGGGACAAACATCACTGAAATGCCAGGCTAGGAGAAGATTGCCTTCCATTGAAAATCAGGCTGTGAAGACTCAAAATACTTAATTAAAATGCTTCAACTAAATCCTGCATATTATGGCAAAATCAATTTATAATTATGTAAAAATCAGATTAATTTCAACGCATCAGTAAATTGTCAAGAGGGTTCTTTTGTTGTTGTTATTATTGCATCTGTGGTTACCTGAGCATGTTGGCAGGGTAAGAAATGGAGATCAGACTGAAAATAATAATAATTGTATACTAAGCTCTCAAAAGACAAGTGTTTATAGTATTAAAAATAATTCACCATCCAAAGGATCAGGCACAACAAAGTATGTGGTTTTCAGTTATGTTTTCTGCATTGACCTTATATCACTTGAGTCCACCTCAAGTTAAATTCTGCCACTCTTTGTAAGCTTGGGCAGTTGCTTACCTCTCCATGCTTCAGTTTTCTCATCTGTCTAATTGGGCATGAAATAATACCTATCACATAGAGTTGTTGAGGAACTAAATGAGATGATATCTGTAAAAATACTTCTAGAACATCATCTGACACATTGCAAGTGCTTTAAAAAAAAAAAAAGTAGCAGTTATTTGAGTTTCTACATCCCTGTTCATCCTTCTCTTGTATTTTTTTTTTTTAACTTAAGAAAAAACGTGCAAACAACACAGCAAAGGAAACAGGATTTTCTCCTGGATCCATTGCTAGACTATATACTTTTGCTCCCATTTTCTTCTCCAGCTCCTGAGACATCTTGGTATTATATCATGTAGTAATACCAGACATATACTGCAGATCTATGTCAGGAACATTCTCTTACATTGTATCTGATCAAGGCCTATTCCCTCATTTACCTAGCCAAAATTTAATCATCTCTGTAGTCATCACATATGCCATGTACCCCTCAGCTGAGTTAAAGTCTTTACGAATGCATACTTTATCCTAAATATTTAAGAACATCGTGTTCTCTCCAGAAGTACACTTTCTGTCTAAACTTTCCTGATCTTAAAAATCACTAGGGTCCTTATTAAAACTGATATACCTAGATTCCTCCCAGACCTACAAAGACAGAGTTTTCATGACAGAGAAATACATTGTCAGATTTTAGTATAAAATCCCAAGCAACTTGCAACCTTTAGAATATGTGAAAATGTTACCTTTGGAGCTTGAACACGAGGGATTCAGAAGTTTGGGGAATATTGGGTCCAGGAATTTCTACTTATATGAAACAGTCTAGGAAGAATATACTAGAAGAAATGTGACTTACAGGTTGTTTGTGTTTCTACCGCTTTGACCAGGAAGGAAGGTCCTTTTTTATATGATAGTTCAGACATAACACACAAGAGGTCATCTCTAGCAAGGGTAAAGAGCATAACTAAGTTCACAAAACCCCTTCTCTTATGTAATTCTAACTATATAATTTGGTGCTTCCTATGTGAGAGATGACATTAATATGGATCCTTTGTTAAGTTACCTTAGTGGATAGTAAGTTCTATATACCTTTTGTGGCAAACTTATTTTATATGCCTCCTGGTGATTATTAATGAGTTGACTCTTTGTTCCAATTTAACCCAAAGTGATGTATCTTACTTTTTTCCTGCATACGCTATAAAGAGCTATTATCTTTTTTAAAAATCACCTTTTGAATGCATTAATAATTAAATATTAGGGAAACGGTATATCAGAAAGTACCTAAACTTGGTCCTAAAATCTTAAAACTAAGGCATGTCATGGTAGCACACTTCATCTTTTCATGCTTTGTATCTATTTACCACCCTGAAAGTCCTTATCTTCAGTTCAAATTCCAAATTTACAGGGCTTCCAGTAGGTCTAAAAACATTTCTGCTGGAAACTATTTTTGAAAACTTTGATAAAAATAATGATTGAAATTATAGGTATAGCTTGATTTCCATAATAGGCATATTCTTGAGAAGTTGCAAGAAAGGACAGTAATAGCTTAATATTTTAGGTGAATTGTTCTCTTACATTTTTGGTAAGGGGTTGAAGAGCAGAGACTAGAGTCAATAATCTTTAATGGGCCTGTCCATTAAACATTAACATTTAATGTAACATGTAACATTAACATGTCCACTTAACATTACAAATTGGCAGTTCAATCAAGAAAATCTTGCTCAACCATTTCAGAGAAAGGTTAATAAAAATGTTATTATGACCACCGTTAATACCGTGAGTGCTTATTGAATGCCAGGCACTTGGCAAAGGGAGTAACAGGTACTGCTCATTCACTCATTGACCATTGTCCAGCATCTGTGTTCCAGGCATCGTTGTAGTCACAAGAATAGGCCATGGCCTTGCCAAATTGACCTTAACATTCTACCAGTAGATAAACAATATGTGAATAAATATATAATATTTCAGGTATTGATAGATCTTATTATAAGAAATCAAACACAGTAAGGGAGTCAGAGAGTGAGATTCATAGGTGCTGTTTAGATAAAGAGCCCAGTGAAGGCTACTCTGAGGCTAATTAGCCCAGTGAGGCTAATCAGAAACCTGAATAAAGCAAAGGAAAAAAAGCAATGCAAAGATTTCTGTACAGAATCCTTCTAAATGAGAAGAAAGACAAGTGCAAAGGCTCAGAGGTTGGAATGAGCTTGGCCCACTTAGAAAGTGTCAAGATGACCATTGTGGCCAAAACAAGGTGAGGGAGTAAGAATGGTTGGAGATGAGACAGGAGTCAGATCACATAAGGCTTTATAATTCATGGTAAAGAGTTCAGACAACACAATTTATGCTGTTATTCAGCCTTTGTAAAATTGAGGCTTAGAGAATCTGTAAACTTTCCCAGGTTCATACATCTAGTAACTAATACAGGTGAGTTTTTACCCTTTTTTGGTCTGAATCCAAATCCTGTGCTCTTTCTAGTGTATCATTAACCAGTCTGTTTACTTTAAAAAAAAAAACCCTAAATTCAGTGGAACTTCTAATTAAGTGCTCTCAGTAGTAAAAGAAAACCAGTGGATACATACTTGAAACTAGATTCTATGTACAAAAGAGAGAGGGAAGCTGTGTATATGTCATATTATATAATTGAATACACACACAGCATTGTGGTTTAAGATGATAATTTTTAATGCTTTTCTGATGGTTCAACATTTGAAACCCAGCATTAATGAAAAAAAGCAAATCATTGAAGGCACACTGGTTGAAAAGCCACTAGGCAGAAAAAGAAAATGCAATATACTCATTACGGACTTCCCAACCAAGACAAACTACTTATTAAAACAAAACTTGAACAGATAGTGCACTGTTTATATAAAATGGGATAATGTTACCTTATATAATTACATATGCCTACCTATTTAAAGGATAAGGGAATTCATATTTTTATAGATTCCAATATACTTATGTCTATAAATGAAATAATAAAGCAGTATTCTGAGGAAATGGTCCTTTATAACTTGAATGATAAGCTGGCAGTCTAAATGGTCATAATTACAAAGAAAATTAATTCACTGAAAAGGCTATAAGAGAACATTTCGGATAAAATGAAACATATTCCACTTTGAAGACAAAGTGGAATTCAGAGATTCTAAAATTTTATTCAGAGTTAAAATTACCTGTGAATTTTAAATAATCTATATAATTTAAAAACATTCCTTTTAAAATGAATATTTAATTCATTATGAAATAAGACCTTAATAGCCTTATCTTTCTCTTATGAAATAAGACCTCAACTTTACTTGCCATTTTATGGGTGTCTCTTCAGTATAATTATTAGAGTATTTTCTCTTTATTTTAAAATTAATGTCCAAAATGGAAGCCATAATTCAAAAAACATGTTTTAAGGAAAAAAATATTTTTAAACCAAGTAATAGCTATGGTTCTCCATAGGTAGTTTTTATTTTTAAATTAAAGTGGAGCAATAATTAAAAGATGTTAAAATAGGTTTTCCTTATTTTTGCCCAAAAAGAATTATTAGAGGTATTGTTCAAATGCTGTCATCTCCTATTGTAATTCACATTTAATGAACAATAAGCATTCTTTTAGAAATCATGAATATGTACTAAGACAATTTTTCTGGCATTAGGTTTTTTTTTCTTCTAGTTAGAATAACACATTACTATAATTCTTTTCCAAGTTAGGTATAGTTTTAGTGAAAGGGTGATTAATGTCAAATCACACATAATTTGAATGAAGAGAATGGATAACTTCATAAATAGTTCCGTGACTACAACTCTAACCGTTTAAAGTGAATTCTTGAACAGTAAGATTGGTCTTACTTCAATCCTGTTTTTTGCCCAAAGAACAGAGTGAAATATGTTTGATAGAGAGAAATTTACATAGTATTTCTGCTATTCATAAGATGAACATCTTCCTTTTGATTCAGTTGCTTATACATAAAACTGGAGATATGATATATACCTCAGTTGTTAATGTTTTAGGACAGAGACCCGTCTCATTCATCTTTGGGTCTTCACTGTATAACCAAGAACTTTACATACAGTAAGGGAATGAATGAGGTTAATGAATGAAGAAATGAAGAAATGGATAACGTCACAAGTATTTTAAAATTAAGAGTAAAGTTCAAATTTTTATGTTCAAGGGTATTAGCTCTAGCCTTAAAGGTGTAATCTTATGCATATAACTTAACATCATTTAGTTTTCTTAATTATAATATCAGCCTTGTAGATCAGTAATACTTTTTTTTAAAGTACCAGTTAACTTTTCCCCCAAATTACCCAGATTTTAGGTGGTATGTGGCAAGTAAGTGTACTGTTCTCCCAAGTTATGTGCAAGCTGTGAACTATTACTAATCTAGTAGTGACTAGCAACATCTGAGGCCTTTAAAAACATCCATTCTTACTGAGAATTTGTGATGTTTTCCTAACTGCCCTACACTGATGTCTCTCATCTACAGACTGTCTCTAACACAATATTTGGTATATGATAATATCTTATATTTTATTCTTTTGAATTGTTGTTTATTGTTAGTAGCTTTTGCCTTTAAGCTATTTTCTCCAGAAAGGCATGAACTGCTCCAAATTTTTTATAACCTCCAAAACTTCTAACATGATACATTACATTGAATCAAGGATCATGTTTCTTTTTTCTTTTTTTTTTTTTAAGGGATCATGTTTCTTTTGCAGAATTTTTTTGTTGTTACCTTGAAGGGTAGGCATTGCATAGCGAGTATTTGGAGATACTAAAAGATTTGGAGATACTAAAAAGATTTGGAGATACTAAAAGAAATAGTCATAAAATTTCCTAAAAGTGTCTAAGATTCTAAATGGATGCTCCTACTATTTTTCATTCTTGAGTGCCTCATTTGGGACACTAACCATTAAATTCCAAATTAGTATAGACATGCATAGTACCAACATTATGAATTGCAGACTGTTGGAGATTTTATGAACAGTAGCTGTAGAACTGACATTTCTTACATTATAAGTATCCTTTGATAAGCTTTAGAGTCTTTACTAATTACAAATGTGAACAATCATTCTATAATTGAAACTATTGTATCTTAAATATTAGGAAGGTTTCATTATCTTGTTTTTTTGTTAGCGGTAAAGCATTTTTGGTTTCGAAAACAGGCAACCTTGTTTCATAGGGACATGGTTTTTTGCTATCATATACATATAGCCTACTAAATAAAAAAGCAGTTACACATTTATTAGAAACATAAAACCCCCATCTATAGCTGAAAAAAAATGATACATTAACTGTTTAAAACTCATTAACTTAGAATTGTGTGTCTTTACCCAAGCGAATGAACATCTCTTTCTATTTTTTGACAGGAAGAAGCACTGCATGGGTTTCGAGTGAGTGATTACTTTGAATACATGGAAATTTTGGAACAAAACTACCGACCAGTGCTGCTGAGAGACATGTGGAACATTAGAGTGCAAAGCACATAGATCATGGAACACACAATTTAATTTTATGTTTTATTTATTTTTAAAGGAGACAGAGGGACTTGACTTTTCTGTCTGTGTCTATAACAACATATGCTTTGTGACTACACAGTATTGTAAATCAGTACTGAGAGTTTTTGAATATAATAATATATTCCAGTAGCTATTGGCTCAATTGAAGTGAATTCATTTTTGTAAATTTTGTTGTTGTGTAAGGTTGTTTTAGAATCAAATCTAGCTTATTTATAGTTCTTTATGTTTAAGAGTTAGTCTTAACCTACATTTCCTTCTTCCCAGGATGATTAAAATATTTTTTCCAATGAGTTTGGAAAGTAGCAGCAGTACTGTAAATAATTGACCAGCCAGAGAGATTCCATAGAGATAAGGAAGACAATTGTTTTCTTCATTTTTATGTCTTTACATATAAAGGAAAATAGGCAAAACCATAACTGCTTATTTTACATATGGAGGAACAAATGATATTATGGCAAGTGGTAGGAAAATTGTCGTCGTCAGACATATTTGTTTTTCTAGGAATTGCTTTTGATACCTATATCAATTTATAATTTTTCATATGAAATGTAGTCTCTACATGGTTCATTTAAAAAATAGATTGGTTATTTCATACTGATATGCATTTGACTCTCATTTGTTATGTGGTTTACTCAGTGATAGATTTGATTTGTACTGAACTTGAAAACATTAAAGAGAATAGGTTTGTAAATTATTTTAAATGACCAACACAGTGTTTTATTTAAATAGAAGGCTCTGCTCCAGTGAGATTAATATGCTAGGCTCTATTTTCTTGTAACCGTCACATTTAATATATGAAAGATAAGACACAAAAATATTAATTTTTCAGTCAGCAGTTTCAACAAGTTTTAAAAATTATAGGTAGAGGTCATTTTGTATTCATTGTTTATATTTAAATATAAAGCAACCATTAAAACCATTCTGGAGCCTTTTTTTCCCCCAACCAAAAATGACTTATCTACAGACTCTATTTTTCCTTTTAGTATGATGAAATAACTGGTACCATACAATTTTCAGTTTTGTGATATTTAGGCGATTGTAGTATCAACCTTCCAAAATCAGTTTTTGTGCTGTAAATGCCAACAGTAGCTTCTCAGTAATGGTGTTCCTAAAGGGCATTGAAAAAGTTAAGAAAAGAAAATTGAGCAAGTTAATTTGACATATTGCTCACTTTAGCTCTGGCTGATATGAGTTAAGTAAGAAAGCCCCGGGTTACTCAAAACACCAAGTTTTGTCTACTTTCAAACTTAATTTTGAAAAGCTGTTCCACAGAACCTATAGTACATGTTTCTGGTTTTTTCCCATTCTGTTCCTGAGATGTTGTTATTGGTCCTGAGAAACTTGCAGCTTTATTTCTTTTTAAAAGGTCCTACATGGTAACTGGAAATACAAATGGAGAAGGAACTATAACTTAATTTTATAATATTCATTGGTGATTTTGATTGAAAACTGAAGCAAGATCTAAATAATAATTACCTTGTGGAAAAGTGACTTTAGCTGGAGCCAGAAGGCTTTCATTTTCATTTGATAAATATGTTATGAACAATGACTTAGCAATTTGGTGAAGTAACATAAAATATGGTAGTTCTTGTAGCTACCACTGTGAATTATTTTTGTACCTATTTTTATTTTAAGAATACTCTTTAGAGTAGAAATAAATACAGCCCTGTCTTGCTTCTCCATTTTATTTTTAATTATTTAAAGTGTAAGTTCTTAGGACTTATTTCTAATTTGTGAAGGAGGACTTTATACATTTTACAGGATTTATTATAGTTATATTTTATAATACAATGTAAGCAAATTTGTGAAAAATTTAAGTGTTCATTATATACATCTTCAAATATCTGTTTTCAAAATTTCATCTTTGTAGTTCTGCCTCTGCATGTTTAGGCATCTAAAGAATCTGTGAAAGTAAAGTAAGTCTCAGAAATTCATCTAAACTTGCTAACAGGATTCTACCTAAATTTATGATTATTAAATTATGGTGTGCTCTAGTTTGATTTTCCAGTTCCAAGATGTTAAGGAAATTTCTTTGGTCATTCATTATACAGACATATTGTGAGTAATACACATATAATGAAATATTTTTAATATTCAAGGTAGGATAAATGAGATACAGCACCTCCATTCAGAGAGTCCACTGTCTTTGAGGGAAGGTGAATTATTTTAAAACTGAAAATACAGTTATAAAGATAAATGAGAATTGACCTTTGAATTTGTTGACCTTGATAAGAGTAGTTTTGATGGAGTAGTGAGGGCAAAAGTTTGGAGCTGGTTTAAATGATGCTGAGAGGAAAGATTTTGGAAACTGTTCTTTCTAGGAGTATTGCTGTTACAGGG